AGAAAGGAAGTCGGAAACACTGAAGTGCCAAAGGAGCATAGGCTCGCAAGGGAAGTTGAAAGCAATAAAAAGGGCCTTTTGGCTCTATCGGTAGTAGAAGCAAGGAGGGGGAAGGGGTGGGCCCACTTGCTAAGAGAGGATGGTAAGGGGGGGAGCGGGCAGAATTCCCACTTTGCTTCCATCTTCTCCTCCGGGGGAACTGCATTCGCATGGCTCTAAGTAGAACTGTGGGCAAAAGGAGGGAATGGTAAAGAAAGGGGAGTAAGAGGTGTTTAGGACGCACTGACGACTGCGAACGGGTTTAGGGCTCCAAAATCAGATCAACTGCATTCAAGAGTCACAAAGGAACCTGTGGATGTTGTCTTGGAACACTTTTTGGTGGTATCTGAGAAATCACGGAAGACAGATATAGTGTCAGAGGATCGAAGGGCAAAAGTTGTCCCTACCTTCCAAAAGGGGGAAAAAGAGCAGAGAGCAACACACCATTCAGCTTGATGTTCCTCCTGGGCAAAACTCTGCAATGGATGACTAAGCAGTTGGTTTGTGAGCAATGAGAAAAGAATTTATTGCTTGGCAAAAGCCAGCATGGGTTTACAAAAAATAAATCACGCCAAACCAACCTGATCTCCTTTTCTGATAGTGACCAGTACAGCTGACTGCAGGAATGCAGTACACTCAATGTATTTTAACTTTTGGAAAGCATTCAGTAAAGTCTTCCATGTGATTCCGGTAGAGAAGACGGCAAAATGTAGGCTGGACTATTCTATCAGAAAATAGAACAGAACTGGTTGAATAATCATACCTAATGAGAGTATATATCAATGGTTCCATGTCAAGCTGGAAAGAATGGAACAGCACAGGCAACTCTGGGATGAAGCAGTTTTTAAGTCCAGAAAAATGATAACATTTGGAAGCAACTCAGATAGATACTTCCCTAGTTCACTGAACTATAAGGAGGAGGAAGAGGTCCAGCACAATCAGACCTGCAAGATTCTGTTATTATAGGCATTCTCAACAAAAGTAGTTTTAGCCTTTCTGTGGAGTTGGTTTCTTGGTTTGGTCTGCCTAGCGGGGCTGACATCGTATTTATAAATGACTTAGATGAGAGGTTAGAAAACACAATTATTAGAATTGCAGTAACAGAAAGATAGCAAATATCTTAGAGAACAGTAAGTTGGAACACTGGGCAAACACAAGCCAGATAAATTTCAACAAGGACAAATGAAGAGTCTTACATTCTGCTATGAAAAATCAAATGCATGATGGGCGAGGGAGCCCTAATCAACAGTTGTACATGCAAAAAGGATCTTGGTATCTTGGTGGATCACTAGCTGACTGTGAGTCAATAATGAGAGGCAACTATTAAAAAAAGCAAAGGTGATCCTGGGCTGCTTCAACAGAAATACAGTAGCAACATCAAGGGAAGTCAGGTTTCCTTTCTGTTTTCCATTGGGCCAGACTGCTTCTAGAACATTACATTCTATTCTGGGCACGGATTTTGGAAATGACAACGAGAAGCTGAAGTGTTTTTGGAGGACAGCAAACAAGTCTATAAGAGGCATGCAAGTCAAAGCAGATGGGGAGTGCGTGGAGACACTGGGCAGTGCCTGGAGAAGAAAAGACTAAAGGGAAATACAATCACTGTCTGCAAGTATCTGAAGGGCTGCCATACAGAAGGTGCGGCAGAATTATTCAGAGTTGTCCAGAATACAGAAACAATGGGTTTAGATTGCAAGGAAGGAGATTTCAGTTGAATAGTGTTTAACAATGGAATGGACTGCCTTGAGATGTGATGGACTTTCCTTTGCTGGAGATGTTTAAACACAGGCTGGAAGGCCACCTGCTGGGGATGCTGTAGCAGTGGATGACTGCATGGGCAGCCAGTTGAACTAGATGATCTCCAAGGTCCCACCCAACCCTTATGCTCTATGATTCTACAATATTATAGATGTTCATTTAGAGA